TATGCAGCCCAATTTTCTGTGTGGATACCTCAGTCATGGGTCTTTGTACTAGGACTTTGCTTTTCCACATATACTTAAAAAACAAGATTGCCAGCAGGACTAAGAAAACACAGCATGCTCTTTTGTTTACTGTCTTCTAGTTTAACTTGGAATATACTTTCATTTATTGATGCTTGGAATTTAGAAGTAATGCATCAGGTAATTTTCTTTAAGTTCTTCCTTATAATGTTGGGAAGTTAATGTACCAGTAAAAACTTCAGTGTTCCTTCTGTCAACTTTACAAACAATAATAATATATTTCTCAGATTTCTCTTAAGAGGAGTATTGATATATGCTTTGTTTATATTATCTACCAGCACATTCCCCTAAATGGAGCATTCTGCCTGTGTTTTTCTTCAAAATACTATTTTACTTCTTTATTATAAATGTTTAATTTATAGGCATATACATTTATGGAGTATAATGTTATAATTTATAAACACACTGAAATAATCTAGATCAAGTTAGTTAGTGCCCATGGTCTCCAGTCTTTATCACATGTGGAGGAGAATATTTAATATTTACCATCTTAACAGTTTAGTAAAGTACTGCTGTCTGCTATCTGTACTCATCATAGTATGTACTAGAACTGAAAGGGAAACCTTCCCTCAGTCTCATTCTTCCTCCTTGGATCTCCGGTCTCCCCAATCCTTCTAACCCCCAACTTCTGTAATCACCATTCTGCTCTGTGCTTCTGAACTCAGTTGTATTAATGAGAAGAAGAAATATTTTCCCTTCTATGCCTGGCTTATGTAGTGTAATAGTTTCCAATTCAGTGTGTAGTCATGGAAGATCATATTTCTCTTTTTAAGACTGAGTAGTATTCCATTGTGTGCTACATTTCTTTGAGTCATTCATCTGTAGTGAGACATTTGGCCCGTTCCTATGACTTGACAGTGCACAGGACATAAATAACTCTTTGACCTTGAATCCTTAGGGTTATTCCAGAATGGGATTGCTTCTTTCAAGAAACTTCTGTACAGTTTTTCATAATGACTGGGATGTTTTGCATTAATTCCTAAGTGCCATGGCAAGAGGTCATTTTTACGTTCTTGCTGACACTTGCCTTTTTTTTTTTTACAATGTAGAGATGATTTCCCTTTCTGCTCATTAACTACATTACCCTGAGTTATAATACTGAGCCTTTTTTTTTTTTCTTATGGATTCCCTGGCCTTTTGTGTGTCTTAAGAAATGTCTATTCATGTACTTTTCTACTTTCTAAGTTGAACTTTTGTTTTCTTACTATTACGTTTTGAATCCTTAAATATTTAGAATAGTAATACTTTATGTGATGCCTAGCTTGCAAACATATCTTCATTCATGGGTTTTAAATTTGGTATGATCCAATTTGGCTATTGTTGCTTTTGGTTCCTGGGGATTTTGAGTGAGATTATAGAATCATTCCATGGCCACTGTCATTTAGTTTTCCATCTATTGTTTTCTTCTAGTAGGTTTAGAGTTCTTGTTTTTATGTCCTAATCCATTTTGAAGTAATGTTCATAAGTGATGTGAGCTAAGTCAGAAAAAAACTTTCAGGAGTTAATATGGTTCACAGAATTGAATTTGGGTTGTCAGCCTTGGCAGCAAGTGCCTTACTCACTGAGCGCAATATTGATGGTGTTATTTAAAATCAGTTGGCATGTCAGGATTAATTTCTGGGCTCTCTGTTGGTATAACTGTCTTATACCACACTATTTACCAGCACCATACTGTTGTTCCCATTTGTTCTTTGTACTCATAATTGCTTGGCTATTTAGGATCTTTTGTGGAAATTTTTATATTATTTTTTCTAGTTCCATTTAAAATGATGTTAGAGTTTTAATAGATAGGCATTGAATCTACAAATCACCCTGGGCAGTATGAACATTTTAACACTGTTAATTCTTCATGGTTTTAAGGGATTATAATGAATAATTACATACCAGAAATTAAGTAACCTAAAAAAAATTAATGTCCATGACAAGGCCATAATCTATGAATCCAGCACTGCCTGCCATCAAAAGTAGACAATGGCAGTTCAAGAAAAGTCAGGCAAGGTTGGTACTTAACTGTGATCCCAGCACACAGGAGGCTGGGGGAGGAGGAGCCTGGGTTCCAGACCAGAAAAACAAATGGAAGGAAAGGAGGGAAGGCGGGAAACCAGTGCTCTTGATGAACATAGATGCAAAATTTCCTCAACAACTATGAGCACCTGGAATTCAGCAGCACAAAAAAAACAGCGTACACTGTGACCAAGTGCGTTGTATTGTTGGCATGCAAGAATTTTCCAGAGTGTACTAATAAATAAAAACTATATGATTATCTTATTTGATGTGGGGGGGGAGGTGAAATATATGACAGAATTTAGTATTCTTAGATGATTAAAAACTCACCTCAGTACCGTGAAACCCTGAAAGCTTCTCCTCTGAGTTGTGGAGGGAAAAAAAGTCTTCTACACTTATTCCTTACGTTTACCGTAGTGTTGAATGTCCTTGCCAGAGCAATCAGGCAAGAGAAAAGGCACCCAGAAAGGAGTAGAGAAAGCAAAGTCATTGTGTTGATGGTATGATCTTACATAGAAAACAGTACAGACTTCATGGAACACTGTTGAAGCTAGCAAACAGACGTAGTGAAGTTCAAAAATGAGTGTTTCTATATGTCAACAAGGAGCTGCCTGAAAAATCAAGGGAATGGCCTCAATTTATAATAGCTACCAGAAGCTACTCAGGAATAATTAAAACAAGGAATTGAAAAATCTGGACACTAAAATGTGAAGCCTCAATGACAGAAATTAAAGGAACAAATACATGACAATACATCCCTTAATCGTGAATTGGCAATTTAAAACTTTGTTTTTTAGACAAGAAAAGCCTGATTGCATTTAGAATGTAGCTTTAAGTGATACTTAGAAATTCTATGGAATAGTTTAAAGTTCATCAAACTCATCTTTTCATCACTGATTGATACTACAGAAGGTTAAATGGAATGGGTGAATAGAAAAAGTGAGCATCCATTTGCACAGTTGGTCCCACGGATGTTGAGCCACTTCTGTTGGGGACTGCTCTTGTACTCATTCTCTGGCTCACACAGACCTCCTAAAGGAGGGAAGGTAGGAAGGTTATGAGTAGTTAAAGGAGCTACTGATTATACTAGGATAAATGTAGAATATAGGTAGCATGGTTGATCCCTGAATCTTGAGAGCTGGGAGACAATCCTAATCCTAGCCTTAGCCCAGAGCAAAGGCTGTACTGGTGATGTGAGTTTTTTAACAAATATTGTTCCAGGGGCTGGCGATGTAACTCGTTAATAGAATGCTTACCTAGCATGCAGGAAGCTCTGGATTGAATCCCAGCATGTTAAAACCAAGAGGGAGGTGCATACCTGTTATTCCAGCACTTGGAGGAAGGTGTCAAAGGACCAGAAGCTCCAGCTTCATAATGAGTATGTGACTCTGTCCAAAAATAAAACTCTGTTTGAAATAAGTTTAAGTTAGCAAACATAATCCATAGGTCTTTACTCTCTACCAAAAGTACAAATGCATTCTTCTTGGGACCCAGTAACCCACTGTAGCTCTCTCCTAAACTATAATTAAGACCACATAAAATTATACCTTCACATTTGCTTGGCACATTGTTTTTGATAGCAAAAGCCCACATATCCAGCAAGTAAAACACTAAATCATGAATTCAGGACAGCATTGAAAGTTAAACCAAAGAGGACATTGCTTGCTGTGTGCACATGTTCAGAATAGCAGAAATTGTAGAAAAGTAGGAAAGATCTCCCCCTGGGATGGAAAACAGGAAACATCATACTACTGAATCATACAAAATACCTAGTCCTCTTTCTCATTCATCGTTTTTTTTTTGGAATACAAAACAAAACAAAAAAAGAAAAACAAAACCTTAAGTTCTATGTGGTTGCTTCATTTTGATTCCTATTCCTGATTTTTCATAAAAAGAACATGCAGTCCAATCCTGAGGAAGTTAGACCTCAGGGTCAGGTAAGAATTCCACTTACTGGTTCTTTTAGTTATTCCATAAATGAGTTAAAGATGGGTGAGGATAGAAATTAAGAGCGCTCTCTTTACAAATTTGTCCATAAAACATTTCACATTATAATATTTATGCCTTGTGGCTATTGTGTTTTATTGTCTGGTTTGATTTGGCTTGAGATGGTCTTGCTCACTCTGAGATTTGAGATGGTACCAAGAAATGCCTGTTCTCTGATGAGGTGACTCACTGAACACAAATAGGTAAAAGCTTGTAGAGAAGCTATGACCAGACATCAGCAACAGGACCCCTCAATCAGAATAGGATCACAAGCGCTTAGATATGTACAATGAAGCTGTATGGAGAAATGACAGCTGTAGAGCACTGGGCTTCTGTGCTACAGTTTTGATGAGCAGTGATGAAGAAACTTAAGGAAAAGGATAACTCTGCCATAGGATGTCTCCTTGGAAGCTAAATTAGACATGCATTACCTGATGCATGTGTTACATTCCACTTATAAAGTGGTATCTGCCAATACAATACTGTGTGATTATCCACATTAGTCTTTGCTATTAGAACAACCTCATAGTTTTAAACTCAGTTTTGATGCTTTGAAAACTAGAGTGTAGTTCTTAGTTTTGATTTGTTGAAAATTAGAATCTGATATCTGAAGTTATGTATACTGTATCTGAAGTTACATATACAGTAATAAAATACACTTACAAATCATGGAATCTTTACACACTCTGTTTCATATCAATTGCTTTTATAATGTTGGTATCAAATCCTCTCAATATTATGTGGCTTAACTGTCATTTCCATCCTCCAGAAGTAAAATTAAGTACTAGAGAGAGTTGGTGATCTCTCTGGCCACTCACCTCTGCTACATTTGTTGTTCAAAGAGTTCTGATTCCAGTTGCCATCATTTCTTCACCTCAGCCTAATTGTTAATATCATTGCAGCTGATTGACAGTATTCATTTTATTTTTTAGGATATGGCTTTAGTTGCCCCTGAGGCACCTTCTGAACAAGCCAGAAGAGTTTTTCAAACCTATGATCCAGAAGGTAAAACATCGTATATTGATGATATTCAGGTTTTATTCAAAAGATAAGTTGGATTATTAAGTGGAAGATGAGTGTCAGAAGTTCTTAAAATGGAAAACAGAACAGTAAAAACAGCCAACTGTGGCTCCCATCAAATCCTGCTACTGAGCAATTGTGTTTCTTGGAATCCTTAGTTAAAGGTGATTTTCTCTTTGATACAGGATGTCAAAAGCCAGGACTCATTTAAATAATATTCTTCATTATTTAACTGATCCAAAAGAAGACTGAATACACAGATCAGGGGCTAGAGAGTAGCTCAGCTGTTAGAGCAGTGGCTGCTCTTGCAGAAGATCCTAGTGTGGTTCCCAGTACCCCTGTAACTCCAGCTCCAGGGGATCTTGACATTAGATTGCTACTAATAATTTGGTTTTTACTTTTGCTTGAATAATTTCAGTAATCTGTATTTTAGATTCTTCAGGATTCTAGAAGCCTGCGACTTACTTTGATATCAAACAAAATTATAAAATCAAAAGTATATTTTTTAATTTTCTTATTTGGAATGCTATCAAAATTTTAATCTTAGCAATGCTTTGTTATACCACTCTAATTACTTGGCAGAATTTCATGATTAAATCATAGATTATGAAATGACAGTAATAAAATCTGCTCAGGACATAGTGAAAACAATTTATTAGACAGCAAACCCCTATGCATGAACTTTTAAGGAAGTCTGCAGTTTTATCTGTTGATCATTTTGGAGATCATATGGAGAAAAATATGTAAATCTGTACTTTTCTCTCAGGTATATGTTATAATGGGATTCTAAAATAACAATAAAAGTAAAAGAATGGAGTTATACTGACAAAAGTGTCCAGACAGGGACAGCAGAGAATTTTACATTGACCTTCCTAAGATAGCCAACAAGCACAGGGACTTTTCTGTATTATTATTCCTATTTGGTGATGGCCAAATAAAATCTGTTTCACATTTAGAGATTCTGGGCTTGTAGTTCTGACTTAACTAAACAAAATATTTTTTTTTCTCCATCTTTCTGATTTATCAAAGCAAGCTTACAGGCTTGAATGCTTTTGAAAGTGATTTCAAGCAAGTTATTTTACTCTTTAGACCTCATATATTTGTAGCTGGACAAGTTGTAGTTACACTAGCCCTTCACATTAAAATCTGTGCATTTTTAATGATCACAAATGATCTGGAGCATTTTAGTCAAGGTCAGTCTGTCTTGAAAAGGGTGAACTACTTCTCAAGATGATCACAAATATAAAAAGGCTTTTGTATACTCCTAAACTCTTTCCTGTCTAATAGACTATAAAATTGGGCATCCAGAGTGAGCAGCTATTCACTTTACCTGTAGTTTGTTACAGGAATAGGACTTTTAGACAAGTTTTCTTAGAACATTGTCTAATTGCTGAAAAAGACATTATGCTGGCTGCTAATTTAAAGTAGAGGGAATCTTTGGGAATGAGAACACGCACACTGTGCATTGAAGGGAGTAAGCAACTGACTTGTTTCAGAACTGCTATCATTTGTAACTCCTCTACAAGTGTTTGTTTGTGTCATTAATTTTAGCATCAATAGAGTTTGGGTCACTTTCTATACTATTTGGTGTATATACACACTAACATTTTAGTTGTTGACATTTAACTTCACTTAGTAGAAATGTATATTCTTTGGTGCTTGGTGAAATATCTGTAGGTATCTGTTAAGAGCATTTGATGTTTAACTCTGATGTTTCTGTTTATTTTTTTGTCCAGATGGCTTGCCTCTTGGAGATAGTGGAGTAGTGAAACCACATAATAGATTGATGATGATCTCTGTCTTTAATTCTAGAACTGTGCTTTATGAAACTGGCTGCTCCAGAGTTTGGTATATTTATGTTTAGGATAGTAATACCTCTTGATTAATGTTCCCTTTGTTATAATCAAGTATCTATCTTTATCCTGTCTGATTAGATTTAATGTGGTCTGTTTTGTCAGATATGAGAATAGCACCGTCTACTTGCTGCTCCAATTGGGTGGGGTACTTTTGTCCAACCTGTCACTCTAAGGTAGTACATATTTTAACACTTAGTCTTCTTGTAGACATGGGTTTTTGTCTCTTGATCCATTTAACCAGCTTGTGTCTTTTGATTGGAGCTTTGAGGACATTAATGTTTTAAATTATTAATGAGACTATTAGTATTTAAGGTTATTAATGAAAGCTGTATGTGGAATACAGGCATTGTGTTGTTATGGTTTGTATTGTTGTTGGTTGTGTTCTCAGTAGTAACTTGTGTTTTAGTAATTATTTGTTAGTTTTCTTTTTACAGTATCTTAGCTATGCTTATTCCTCTCTTTAGTCCAGAATATTTCTTGTATTAGGCTTGGTCTGTTGGATATAAGATTTTTAGGGCATTGGTGTCATAGAAATTTTATTTCTCCTTCAACTCTGGCAGATAGTTTTGCTGGGCACAGTATTTTAGGTTGATAGTCCTGTTAGAACTTGGATTGCATTGTGCCAGGCTCTTCTGGCTTTCCAAGTCTCCTCTGAAACACCAGCTGTTCTTCTAATAGTGTTCTTCTAATAGGTTTTCCTTTTTATGTGATTGGCAATTTTAATCTACTCTTTAAGCATGATATACCCTGGGGATTTTATTTTCTCACCTTGTCTATTTGGTGTTCTGTGGGCCTCTTATGTCTGTTGTATGGGTTTGTCTTTCCTTAGTTTAGAGACATTTTCTTGTATAATTTTATTGAAGATCCTGTCTATGTGATTGACCTGGGATTCATCGCCCTGTTCTATTCCTGTGATTCAAAGGTTTTGTCTTTCTGTGGTATCTATCCTGCCTTTCCTGTATGTTACATATGTGTTTTCTTTAATTCTTCATAACCTTTACTGGTTTGGGTCTGGTTTCTCTATCTCTGACTCCTGATGTTCAGTCTTCCTCTGGATTCGTTCAATTTATAAGACTCTCCCCTGGGGTTTCTAGGTCTCTATGCATTGAACTTTTCAATGATATCCTCACCCCAGCTTTTCTTCAACTCCCTGGACCCCTATAATCTGATCCTCTTCTCCACAAAACCTGATCAGAAATGTTCTTACGCCAACTTCTCATTTATGTTTTTCCAGATAATGGATTCATAGCTGACTCCCTTCTAGAAGATGTGATGAAAGCCTTGGACCTTGTTTCGGATCCTGAGTAGTGAGTGGAATTGGAAGTGTTACTTTGATCACTCAAAAAAGATTCCAGCAAGTTGAAACATTACATGCATTTTTACCCTTTTTCCAAAAATAAATAAATAAATAAATTAAACCTATATAACAAAACAATAAAAATTTAGGGGAGAAAGGCCTTATCCAATCTGAGAACAGATAAATATCTATCACAGTCTTGCTTTCATTGTTTGTCTCACTTTTTTAAAGTAAGGCTTTCAGGGTTATTTTGAAATTTTCTCTCTCCAAAGACTTTACGTTTTTGAGATTTTATATATACAGTTTCATTGAAAATAATGATTTTTCTTTGTTTCATATCACAATCTAATGGCCTTCTTCAGACCCACTAAAACTGAGCCTTTGTATAGAGCACCTAGATGACACCAGGGCTGGAGAGACTATAATAGTCATGCTCCAACAGTGTCATTGAACCTGGCTAGAGGCTTCCCACAGTTGTAACTTTCAGAAAACCTTTAAAAAAAAGTTTTACCTCATCCAATAAAACAATAATTCTGGAACTGACCACGTATAAACACAGGCCAAGGAAAGGGAAAGACAAACACCCACCAAACTCTGAGAATGGTCTCCTGTCAGAGGCCTTTCCAGGAAGGGAGTTCTTGTGCCTGGCCCCTGCTCCAGCTGTCTATCCTTAAAGAGCTTGAGCCAGAGACTCCTCTGTGAACTGGGGAAGTCGATCAGTCAAAGTGCCCTTTAACTCCCAAACATGGTGTTTTGCTTGTTACATAATAGGATAGTTTAACTTGGTATTTGAGATAGCATTAGGAAAAAAATTCTCTTAAAAAAAAAAGAGAGCAAGAGGGAGACAGAGAGAGAGAGAAACCACAGGGTTTTTAAACCCTTTAAACTGCACTCCCCTTTCCTCTGCTTTGTTGATCTACTCAAACCTGACACTTCCCACCAGCCCCCATTGTACCTAAATGGCAAGGGCTGTACAGGGCTTGTCACTTCAGATTGCTGCTGGGCCAGCAATGGCCATGCCACTCTCTGTAACTCCCTAGATTAAAGCTTTGATGTCTGTGGCCTTCAAGTTAGATTTCCAAGAATGTTGTCTATCTCATTTAGTTCATAAAAGTAACATTTTGACATTTTTTATTATCTGATGTCCCAGTGCCTCTTGGCACTGTTTCTTTTTAACTCTTAGGGTCTAAAATAGTTTTTAGAAAAGTAAATGCTCCATTTGATTGTTGAATTCGTGCATACCTAGGGCAGAGAGAATCTGCCTTTGGGAGGTTACAGCCTGAGTTTATAAGCTTTGGTTTTTAAATTACTTTACCTAATAAGGAACAATATTCTAAAGTCATCATCATAATTAAATTTTAAATAGTAACAGATTACTCTGATTTAAAAATAGCCAAGTTTTGGCAAATTGAATGTCATTCCTGTGTATTTGTCATTAAAGTTCTAAAAAGAACAGCTCTTAGGATTTTGGCATCCAAATGTGTTATAGTACCAGAAATTTAATCATGAAAGAATGGAATAGTTTTGTGGTGGTTTGTCTTCTTCAGTATTCACTGTTTTTCTTTTTCTTCTTCTTTCCCCCACCCCCACTATAGTATAAATCTCGTGAAGAATAAATTAGATCCAGAAGGATTAGGAATCATATTGTTGGGTCCATTTCTTCAAGAATTTTTTCCTGATCAGGTAACCTAGCCAAGAGAATATATGTATTCATTTGTTCTGTTGAGATGCTTGTGTTTTGTCTTGTTTTGTTTCCTAAAGTACATATGCAAAACTGAGAAGACACTATAGGTCAGAAGGACATGTATGAGCCTTTATGGCAGGATAGTGATGCATGGATCAGTACAGTGATACAGTCCCCCCAGAGGGGGTGTGTGTGTGTGTGTGTGTGTGTGTGTGTGTGTGTGTGTGTGTTTGGGTGTGTGTCCCGCTCGTTGGGTGTGTGCTGTGCAGTAGGTCTGTCCGTGTCCTAGTACAACAATGTAGTTCTCAGAGTATGCGTGTCAGTACAGTGATATATGTGTGTGGTACATGTGCTGGCATAGCCATGCACTCCTGTGGTTTGGAGGCTTTATAATAGTACAGTGGTGCAGTTCTCTAAAGGGTGTCAAATGTACCAGTACACTAATGCACTACTAAAAGGAAGGATAAAATTAGAAGTACATGAAATGTAAACACTATCTTCCATGCCTGAATTCATTCTCTCAGGAAACTTGATTAGTGTGTGTCTTAGGACAGTGCCACAAAGGAAAGGGTAGGAGCTCCTAGTAAAGAGCCTGAGTTCCAGAAGCGAAGTGTGAACAGGATGGTTTTGTCTTCAGCAGAGTGACACGTGTCTTCTATTGGGCTTTGCCTCAGTTAGCAGGCTCTGTTCGTTCTCACACTCTTGAGTTATGCCTGCATTGGTGGCAAGCCATTTCTATATCCTGCACCTGTCCTTTTCTTTCCTCTAAGTGAAATATTTAACCACTGAACTGAATTATTCTTAATAGTCATGGTCATGTCATCAAATATCAGAAGTATAAATTGTTCCAATAGAAATGCCAATTTTGTTCAACTATTGTATATAAAAATGTAGTCATTTCATTTTGATATGCTTGTTAATTTGGTATGCTGGGCACAAATCTGACTTGGACAGAGTAGTCAGTATTCCTGGAATTCAATCTTGGTAGTTAATGCAGGGTTAGAAAACAAGGATCCTTTTGGTTATTATAAATAAAGGAGGCAAGTGGTAATATTTTGGAAGCAGCCAGTGCTATCACAATATAGTAAACTGAACTTTTTAAGCTTTGGCAAATAAATTATGAAAACAACAACAAAAAGAAAAACAAACTTCTCTTTCTGACATTGGAAAGGCACTATTTGTCTTTTCTGAAAGTTCTTTTAGATATGTCAGAGGATAATTATAGCACCATGAGGTTTTGAAGCAGTACTTGAGGCCATGTTTCAAGAAGGTGCTGCCAGGACATTACTAGAAATACTGCTTGTTAGTTTTGAAACACTCATATTAGGGTGGGAATTAAAAACTGCTGTGCAGTGTAAGACAGTTCCCAGTTAATTGCAAGATGATGCTTAATAGCTTGAGGAATTAATATTGTTTCCATATTTTCTTAATTCTTTGAGGATTTCATATAGTGTTTTAATCATATTCACCCCAACTCCTCTCATTAGCCCCTCCCAGATCACCCAATTGTGTGTCTTCTTTTTGTTATTTTATTTAATAAGTCATTGACTCCAGTAAGAGTTACTGTGTTTGTGGTAGTATTCCTCTAGGTGATAGAAGAATGTTCTAGTTCCCTTCTATTCTACAGGAAACAGACCTGTCTCTCTAATTGGTTGTACTGTGCTGAGTCCTTGTTACTACTTGCTTACTGCCCTGTTACTCTAAGAAAAGTCTCCATCTGAGCCTGGTTTTTCTCATTGCCTCTATGGAATTCATAATCTTTCCTTACTTAACATGTGTGGCCCTGCTGTCATTTCTGTTATAGCAGAAGGTTCTCAAAAATGTAGTGTATAAGAGCTAGTTAGAACTACAAACTCTAAAGTCTCTCCTTAGTGCTGGTGGATCGGGAGCCTTGGGAACAACACAGCAATGTTAAAGCGCCTCTAGGTGCTTCATTTGGTGACTAATGGAGGTCTGACTTAGAACAGCTGCCTCACCTTTGCCCCTCCACACCATGTAGGAACTGAGACCCCCATGCCACATTTGCCTTCCTTCTGACCTGTGTCACTGGTGCTCTCTCCTCAGTGAATACCAGCACTTGCTGCTCACTTTGCCACCACCCCTAGTCAGCCATGTACCTAATAGACAGATACGAGGGCAGTTCAGTAAACATGTGTCCACTTAAGAGTAAATGAAGTGAGTTACAAAAACAAGTTAGAAGGACAATCTCTGTGCTGACTTAGCATAGCTACAGTGCAAGGACACTGCATTGTTAGGAAGTAGTAGCTGAGCAGGGCAGCAGCTGTCTTCAAGAAGTATATCCTGTATGCCTTGTAATTGAGTGCAGTTACCCCCCCCCCCAAAATTGGAAGTGAAGACTAGAAAATTTAAGAGACATGCTTAGTGTCATTCACTGTTACATGACTGACCCAAGAGCTCAAATCCGTCCTGCTTTGCACTGCCTTAGTGGTGTTTCTGTATGCCAATTAGTTATTCAATCTTGAGAATACAAATAGGATTCAAATAAAGACAATGTTTGTTAAAATAAACTGTGAAAATCCAGAACAAATTCTCCCCTAAATTCAGTTTGTGAGAGCTTAGGTTTTAGTTGGGAAATGCTAAAAAGCAAATGTAAAGTCTTCAGAGTAACAACCTAATGGTATACACTCAACATGAAGTTTATTCTCAAATTAATTCCAACAGCTTTCTAAAGCTCCTAGAGTAGTAAGAAACCTAGTGGTGTGCTTGGAGGAAACTTTACAGGAAAGTAAGATTTTGGTCAGGTCTTAGAAAATGAGAAAGGGACATTTTAGAAAGAAATGTGTCATGAGTGTCAGAAGCAGAACTTAGGGGTCAGAGTAAAGGGTGGATTGGGTCCCCTGCTGTTTTGGATATCCTTGCTTGCTCTTGGCATAAGTGAAAAGACCCTCAAAGGGGAAGGGTTAGTTCACAGGAACCGAAAAAGTGAGCCTGGGAAGGGAAGCTGCACCCAGCCTCAAGCCTGGAGCATAGCCCCAAACTCTTCCCAGAGTTCCCCCACTATAAATGGAGTTAGCTAGTGGCACACTACATCCTCTGACCTTCAGACCGGCATTATTTCTACAAGCAAAATATCACCACTATCACCACACTCACCTTCCCTCCTTTCAGTACAGCTGCATTCTCTCAGCCCATCTCTTATGTGGAGCTGAAGCAAGAATTGCCAGCAGCTCATCTCTTACCAAGTAGAAAAGATCCAGTGGAGAGACTCTGATCTAGGCTGGTTCACATTCATGCTTATGTCAGGAAAGGCCAAGAAGACAAGCTGTAGGGACAGAAAATTGCCTGCTGAGAATCAGCTAGGAGCCCAGGCACTTTGGGTGAGAATAACGTCTTATTAGGCATGATATATTTTGATTTCTATGAAATGATATTTTGTAATGTAAACTTCTGAGTCATTATTGTGGACCAAATTGAAGATACTGGTATCTGTGTATTTGTGGTTTAAGTAAAGTTAGTGTTGCTATGTTCCATACTGAGAAGCAAATGTTTTGCAGTGATGTAGTTTAGGAGATATTTGTTAGGAGCTTATCCTTTTTAGTGTAATACACACATCTACTTAGAGACATAAACAAGTGCTAAAGAGCAGGGCAGGGCTTCCCTGCTTCCAGAAGCAGCTGTTTCCTTTCTCAGCTTTCTTGGCAGTTAGCTCTATACAATTTGCTTTTATCAAGTGATCCCCCAGTAACAATAAGAGATTGGCATTTTTACATTCATTGCTCATTAGAAATTGCTAGATAAAAAGATATAACTTAAAGTTTTAATAGTCCTTTATTTATAATAGGGCTCCAGTGGTCCAGAATCTTTTACTGTCTACCACTACAATGGATTGAAGCAGTCAAATTATAATGAAAAGGTATGAGAATTCACATAGTAAATTGTCTTCAGCTGGGTTGAATAAACTATATGAGTTCATGACTATGTGTTAGTCCTCTGCAGTTGTTACTTGAGAGTGTCCTAGAAGTCTTTCTACTGCCACACATGCGTCAAAATTAGGTGTATTCAATTTGACTAAGCTGTACATTGAACTATGGGGCAATAATTTTACTGTGACAAAATTACTATGTCTACCATGTCCACAATGTTACTCTAGACTGTGGAGGTATTTCTGAATCAGCAGTTCTGGTTAATCTACAGTATTAATCCATTTAAACACAGAAGTAGATAACACTGTAACACGAGGGTTTTTTGTTTTATTGTGTTTTGTTTTTTTTTTTTTTTTGAGAATTCTGTTTTAATTTACCAAAATGGCTTTATTGACCATTTACCTAGTGTACTTAGTCTTTAGTTTCACACAACCTTCTGAAGTCAGTATTGTCTATACGTCTGACTTGCAGAGGGGCCTAAGCACAGGTAAGAGGCTTATCCAGAGCCAGAAAATAGCAGGGCTGAGACCGAAACACGTCAAGTGTAGCCCAAGCCCAGAGCTTGTACAGTTAGCCACTTTGCTTTGCACCTCTCTTTTCTAAGCCATGAACAAAGGCACACACATGCCTTGTAAGTATACTAGCCTCATTCAAGGCAAAGGTTTTGTCTGAGCACTTTACTCCTTTGAGTGAAATGCCAGTTTGTGTGTTCTTGTGGCAACTCTTTACATTTATTCAGTAGGTATAGCCAATATTAGGAGGAATAACACCTTTTCAGATTTATCTCATGCTGCTCTTATAAGCTTCATTGGAGGATGGCTACAGAAAGTAGATAATAATATAAACTAGATAAATTATTTTAGTGAAACCAAACTAAGAGGCTGAAATTTACTTTTTTATTTTCATAACAAAATATAAATCAAAACCTTTCATATATCCAAAAATCTTTTCACCAATGTATTGCTATCTGTAACAGAGTTGAATCAGTAAGAAACCACAGATGCTGTCTTATTGTGTGTTAATGAGTACTTCATCTAGTTGTTGAAGTTTTGCCTAGCTTCGTCATCACTAAATATTAATTCACTGCCACAATCCCTGCAAGGTAGTCAAATATTATCCATATTTTACAGATGAGGCTTCTGAGACAGGGAGATTAAGTGACTCAGCCAGAGTCACACAGCAAGTCATTGACAGAGCAGGGATTGGAACTGAGTTCCTGATTCCCAATCCTGTCCTTGGTCTGCTTGGCCACGCTACCTGTTTATAGTAAGTTTTCAAATCATGCTTGTGACAAGCATCTGACTACTAACTCAAGATCAGAAATCAAGATATATGGAGTATTAACATGACATACTAGGTAACAACCATAAAGCAATGCATGCATATCATTTATACAGAAATGTAAAGTCCTGAAGTTATGCAGGGGCTGGAAACAGAGCTGAGTGATCTGTCAGATACCACTCAAGATACCAGGAAAAACAGCACAGCACTAGCTGCACGCAGCAGGGAAGGCACCAGACACTGGTGAAGAAAGAGCACAGAAGAGATCACATTGCCCCTGCTCTGATGCTGTGGGCAGCTGGAGAAATAGGTCCTATCTTGTGTTACATTCCTTTCAGACAACTTTTTACAAAGTGGCACTTTTGCTTTGAAGTTGGAAAATGAGTTGTAATTTTAATATGAAAAATGTATTTCACCTTTGGACTTCCCTAAAGAGTAAAGTTTATAAACCAAATTATGTGACCTAGTAATAGAACATCCTATTTCTACATCAGTTGTGTTTTTGAGGGAACTCATGTTGAAGGCTGATCAGCTTGTTTCTTTTGGCTCCTTGCTCACATAAAGCTTATGGCTTTTATGTTACAAGAACATAATTGCAATCATGTGTATAATCCATTGAATGGGTAAAAATAACTATACATACTCTGGAAGAGAGTAGACCATAGCCATTCCTTTAAATAACATAGTGTGTAATGTACACATTGAACCCTTCCTTGATAGTTAGTTAGGGTTCTGTCATCCTTCCATGATTTGTGTCTGTCCTCACATCTTTTGTGATTTTTTTTTTCTCCATGATTGTCATGAATGTAAAATATACTGAAGAGCTACATTTCAAAAACATTCAATCCAAAGACAGTAGATTCCATTAGCAAGCATGCTGATACCTTCAGATCTGAACGTGCGGTACTTACATCCAAAGTAGAATGTGAGGTCTTCTCAGAGTGCATAGCTGTGTTCTGTTAAAAAACAAAAGCAACTGACTGTCTCATTAGCCAGCTAGAGGAAACACGGTCACTAGGGGAAGAAACATACTCTGTTTACCCATCATTTGAAAAGCAATGTTTTTCTTTATCTAAAAGTATACAGCTTGTGATTCACCTATGCTTTTTTTTTTTGATCTTGACAATTAAAATTTATATCACCATCTCACAAATTTATTTTGCAGATGCTATAGTTGAGTATAATTCCTATCAAAACAGTTAGATGTAAAACTCCACATAACAAAGTCTCAGAAACATACTTGCCTGTGAAGTTGTCTGTATCCACATGAGAATTTGCTATGACTATTAACTGACCTTGCTGACTTTTTCCTCTTAACAGGTAATGTATGTGGAAGGGACTGCCGTGGTTATGGGTTTTGAAGACCCCATGCTACAGACAGATGACACTCCTATTAAACGCTGTCTCCAAACCAAATGGCCATACATTGAGTTACTGTGGACCACAGAGCGCTCCCCTTCACTCAATTGAGTTGCCTGAGTATTTATAAGAAGATTGTAAAAACAGGTGTTTAAATGGGAATTCATGACTGGCTACACTAAGCTAAACACTGGTATTGTTGATTAACTGTAAATAACAAATTAAAAACACATTTTCAGTGTTTAAGGTATGTTTAAATTATTTGTTCTAAAGCTTTATGTTAAAGGTTATCCTATTTTAATCCTTTCTGTGAAATATACTAGCAAAATGAAGCTTTAATTGAAGTTCATCACTTCTGCGGTCAGGTAATTGTTATTTACCAGATTATAAACACAATATTACAGCATTTTTATAAAACTCAGATACAAAAACCTGCCTGCGATCTCATTCCATTCAGGTTCATTTTATTGTATTATTCTTAGCAGCCTGTACACCAAAAATGCAGAAGTTAATTTTTGTTATTTTTGTTTTTCATCACTAAAATCTGTTTACTAATAAATAACATTATCAGTCCTGGTCCTTTGATAACTAATGTAACTCTGGCATGTTTACAAAAAGTGGAAAATATGTGGGAACTTGCCTTTGTTCACAGGTGCATAGGGCTGTATTTTTTACAATGATAGGGAAGAGAATCTGTTTGCTAGGAGGTTTTAACACTGTACCTTTCACTGTATTGCTAAGTACACTTCTCCACCTTTGTTCCTGCAAGCCAGCTTTCTTGTATATTTCTAAGCGTGGTAAATGCATGAGAACATCTGTTGTTACATTAGCATATGGCATTATTTATTATGGTCCCAGCTGATACCATAAATAAAGAATTTTTTTTCTATCTTTAACTACATCCTTGTACTTTTACATTAGTGGCTCATGATCAACAAGTGCTTGTACGCATTTGTGCCTTCAAACTTGCAAACAAAATGTTCCTCATAGAGTCAGAGAGGAATGTGAATAGAAGCACAAGGCCGGCTTACCCAAGAGCCCTGTGAACTCAGCCAGCAACACAAGGACTGGATGACAGCCATCTGGGCCAGTAGCAAAACTACAGCAGCCCCAGCCTGTCTACTACAGACTATTTGCTTCCTTCCCTCGTGAGTGAGTCCATGACTGTGTCCTCGTTCATTTCAGAAGTGATTTTAGCATAGGAAAAACTTGGCCCAAGATTTTATATATAACTTTAGTGGCATTCTCTTCCAGGAATAAAACACTACTAGGATTTCAGAACACAGCATGGAAAACATCTAACCCCCACCCCACCCCACCCCCAGCAATCTCTTACTGCTGCTTCCTAAAATGGCAAGGCATAATACTGTGTATGAATTTTACAAATTGCCACTAAAAACATTAAGTGAGAGATGAGGATGTAGCTTAGTTCATAGGGTACCTATCATGCATGAAGCCCTGTGTTCAGTCTCCATCATAGTATAAAAGTGGGCATGGCTCTACACACCTGTCATCTCAGCACTTCAGAGTTGGAAGTAAAAATCAAAAGTTCAGGATGAGATGGAGGCCAACCTGTCTTTAGAAAGAAGCATTGCACAGTACAGCAATAGCTTGCATGCTGCTATAGAGGCTGAGCTGAGGTACCCAGAAGCCATGCTGCAATCATCTCTAGATGTGGTGACGCGGTGACTGGTGTTAACTGGGCCCATAGCTCAGTTACATCGCTGGAAGTATCTGCAGTAAATTTTTTTTGTGTAGTGTCTATGTGCATGTCATCAAAATAAATGCAGGATGGGAGATAAAGCTAACCTAGATAATCCCAAAAAAAAATTAGAAATTAGGCCAGGTACTTTTAAGCAATCCAAAAGCCAAAGAAATTAAAATGAATATTATAGTATAGCATTTCCTAATGATACTGGAAGTATGGCAGAGCAAAAGTCACATAACTAATGTGATGCTTGGAAAGAAATAACAGTTTTCAATAAATACAGAAAAGAAGAAAGTTTGTAATTGGAAACGGAAAGGAAATATCAGGAGGTAAAAAGATAGGCAAAAGATTGAATTTGGATCCTACTTTACTCCTGGTATGAAAATTAACTTTATGTGATCATATGTCCACTTCTCAAAGCTAAAGATATAAAAGAAAATAGTTAAGACATAGAGATATGTTTTATTGATCCTGGAAAAAAAATGTTTGATATTCATTGAAATTTAAAATGCCCAGACATTACCATGAAGATAGTGAAAGGGTGATCAATAGAATGAGAGAGTATTTGTAAATCACAGCTCAAAAGAAAATTTTCATAGCACACATAACTCAGGTGTTTTCAAATGGGTGGATGAATTGATGAGAGATTTCTTCAAAGGTTGATGTTCAAATGGCCAGTAAACATTACGATTCTCAGCCAAGGTAGGTATTGGAGAAGTGCATATCAAAACCAAGATACACTCACCACTCCTTAAGCAAGCTATATCAGAAACCCAGACAATAGCACACTTGACACAAATGCAGAGGCAGGAACCCTCATGTGTCCCTGGGTATATAAATGATAAAGCCACCTTAGAGAACAGTTTTTGTCATCCCTCAGAATACCAAATACAGAGATAGCATATGACCCAGGAATCCCCTTGGCATGTTCTCAAAAGAAATGATGAAAATGTACATAGAAAAGTTTTATAAGACTCTATAAATCAGCATTATTACTATAACAGAAAATGCAGTCAGCCTAAAGCCCAACAGATGAGGCGTAAACAGATGCAGTATAAACATACAGTAGAATTTTATCTATAAGTGAAAGGTGGTACATGCCCAGGCATTGGTGAATCTTGACACTATGCTGATTGAAGCCCATCGTAAGAGACATTTATAACTCCATTTGTTTGAAGTGTTCGGAACAAGAGAGCCACAAACAGAAGGTGGGTCTGCAGGCCCTAGGAACTGGCGTGGGGATGAACAGGGTAGCCAGATTGGGGAGTGACTGACTGCTAGTGGGTTTAGGGTTTATTCAACAGGTGATAAAATGCCCTAAAATTAGATTGTGGTCAGTTATAAAACTACTGAACTGTGAAGCTAAGCAGAAAAGGCAATGAAGTCGGATATGCAAAAGAGGGTAAATCCATTCTCTTTTGAAAAGACAGAATTATAAAAGCTAAGAGTGATTTTTAAAAATGAGAAAAAATAAGAGAACATGAGTATCGTACATATTAAAATAATTCAAAGGAAATTACAAGTTATCGTCTGCAAAAAAAATGCCTATTTGAGAAATGTAATTTAACAGAATTGATACACACACACACAAATCAAAAATCCTATGTTGGCTAAAGAAGGTTAAGCAGAAAGCAAGTACATTCCCAACAAGGAAACACCTAACCTGGATGGTATCACTGGCAAATACTCCTGAACACATGTTTGTTAAATGTCCTGTGTGTGTGTGTGTGTGTGTGTATGTATGTATGTATGTATGTATTTCATACAAATCCTTGTTATATGTCCTATATATGTATATTTGTATACATATATACACCCATGTGTGTTTATTTTTTTATTTTTTATTTTACATGTCAATCCCAGTTCCCCCTCCCTCCCTCTCTCTAACCTCTCCCCCCTCACATACACCCTAACACCCTCCCCACCCCAATTCCACATAGAGGGCAATGCCATCCAGGTGGGGTCATGTAAATCTGTCAAGTCATTTGAAGTAGGGACTAGGACTTCTTTCCTGTCTCCAGGTTAAGGGAGTATCCCTCCATGGGGGATGTGTCCACAAGGTCCTTTTGTGCACCAGGAATACATCCTGGTTCCACTGTCTGAGGTCCCTTAGGCTGCTCAGTTCTTCTAGCTGAGACCCATATTTAGGGGGTCTGATTCAATCCCATGCTGGATTCCCAGCTATCAGTCTAGAGGCACATTAGCTCCTCCTTGTTCAGGTCAGCTGTCTCTGTTTCTGCAACCTGGTCTTGTGTTCTCCCTCTGCATCTGGATTCTAGTTGGATTCAGTGTTTAGTTATGGGTGTTTGCTTCTGTTTCCAACAGGTACTAGATGAGGGCTCCATGATGGGGTATAAGTTAGTTGTTGATCTCTATCCAGGAAGGGCATTTTATGGTAGCCTTTCCACAGTTGCTCAAATTGTTAGTTGGCATCAGTCTTGTACGTTTCTAGACATTTCTTTAGGTTCAGTTTTCTCTTCAAACCAATAATGGCTCCCTCTTTTATGTTCTCCCTCCCTCCCTCTGTCTCCCTCTCTCTCTCTCTCTCTCTCTCTCTCTCTCTCTCTCTCTCTCTCTCTCTCTCTCTGCAAGATTTGTCAGAACACAAAATATCACAACACCTGTGCCCTCTGCTTGTCTTCCCTGGGGGAATACGGGTCTCCTTATGCACACATCCAACCAAGCACCAGTTACACTTGCTCAGAGTCCAGTAAGAACTCATTTGCTTATTTTTTCTTAACTGTTTCATCCATGTCAACATTCATAATGGAAAGTCAGATTTGAATATGATTTGCAGGCACTTATGTATGCCCTGGCCTATATCTACATAAAACATAGTGTATGTTAAATATAATTGAAGAAATCTACATATAGCCCATTGCAATGTGATGCTTCACCCTATCAGCAAATGTAACTTACAAAAATTATCTAAGCAGGATAAGTCTCCACCAGAAATTCATCTCAGTATAAGATAAATTAGTTTTCTACCATACCCAAATCAGAACTAATACTTAAAATCCCAACTACTCATTCTGTCAATGCAATTTTTACATTATGCAGTAGTATTTTCTTCCCTGCTGATGCCCTTGTCTTGTTTGCACTAAACTGATGTTACAAATTAAAACTATCGACTAATTATAAACATATTTTGAGTGACAGAGCAAATGTGAGCAATTTCTAGTTGCCTCATGAAATTAAAACATTTTTCCTATAAATACACATACTGTTTTAATGACAGAAATATACTGTGTCAAAACCACTGTGCTCTGGGGAAAGAAAATACTGTGTATTTATTCTGCTTCTTGTCTGGTCTCACTCACTGCCTACACTGTGTCTTCCCACATAGCTTCCCCAGATCCTCACCACTGCACATTCCTTGGGCAATCACTGCTAGGAATCAGGCTTGTGGAGCTCTAAGTGGTCTAGGACCCTAAGGGGCCACCGTTCCTCAGCTGCATATATCCATGTACTATGTTTTCTGTCCTGTTGTCTCCACCCACAAAAAGTTATTCTAGCTCAAAGTAGATAAGTTGAAGTA